TGGGCTGAGAAAGACGGTGACATGCTAAAGTCCAAAGGGCAGGGCTGAGGGGTGGGGGGAAAGAAGGAACTTTGCAGCAGGTGAACTTTGAGACCTTTGTTGTTGCTCCTGCATGTACAGAGACCTCGGCAAGCAAACACTGAAGTAACAGAAACGGATTCAAAAGAACTGTGCTGTTGTGGTTACCTGGGAGAAAGAAACCTGGGTCCTGTCCAAGTAGGAGGGCAGAAAATGGAATAGAAACTCACACTGTTCTGGGCATGGCATGGCAGAAGGCACCTGTGCAGGCTCCCATGACTGTCCTCTACCCTCTTCCCCATCCTTTGTTAGCCATGCCAGCAGTGCTGGTAGTTATGGGGATAGTGATGGGGATGTTAGTGGCTACTCTAAGCGTCAATGGTTTGATTTGGTGGTTTTAATTTTCTTTTTAATAGCTTGTGCTGCAAAATATATTCTACACATTTGACACAGCCATGGCTCTCTTCTGCACACAACTTTCCATCTTCTCAATAAGCTGCCATCCTGTTCTCTCCCCATCTGATTTCCAAAAGGACTTGAGCAGTCTGAGGTAGCTGTTAGGGGAGGATCATTGTGGACTGAAAAAATCTTGCATTTCAGTCACCATCTGGGAAGATACCAGAAATTGAACTGGGCAACTAAAAGAGCAAGGTGAGTGACTCCTCATAGCTTGAGAAGAACAGCAGCCCTGAAGACCTCAGATGGAATCAGCTGTAGTCTGGTGTAGGGCAGCCCAGAGAAGGTCACATAGCCAGACACACAGCTAGGCTGTGTTTGTACTAACTTTGCCAGTTCTGAATGCTGTCTAGGAAGAGAAGGCTCCAGTCTCTGTGTGTCCTTCATTTGACTACATTTATGTCAGCCCGAGAGTGAAGGACATCTCACTGGATTGTTTCCAACAAACTTTCTAAAGCCACCCCTGCCCTGGCCTCTCTGTTTAGTCACCAGCTCTCTCTGCTTAGTGCAGAAATAGCTCCTTTCGTACACCTTGTCCTGAGAAGAGTGTTGTTACCTGGCAGCGCTTCCTCCTTTGAATCAAAGGTCTGGAGATTAAAATCATGGTATTAAATTGCACCAAAGTCTTCTTCAGCCTCCTGTAACGCTTCCTAGAGGGATGAGAAAAGAGAAGAATTGGCTAAGGAGGGAAGCATCAGCAACACACACACACATAAAGCAGGCCAGGAGCCAACATGAAGGGGGGCCTGGCCAGGCACATCCCCACCTGGCTGTCCTGGGCAGGGCCAAAGGGCTGTTCCTGGCCTGGCCTTTGACTCCTGACCTTGCCTGGTAGCCTCGGAAGTGAGCCTGAATGACTGTGACTTTCTCCTGGAGGACACGGAGGCGTCTGCGGTGAAGGAGGCACCGGAATTTCCTCTGCAGAGTAACAACAGCCCAGCTCTGCCTCTGCATCCATCGTCGCTCCAGCAGCTGCCTGGCCTTCTCCTTCAGAAAGACCTGGGCAAAGGCAGCAGCTGCTGACCCACGAGGGAAGCAGCAGCTTCTCTAAGAGCTGGGCAGTAATAAAAGCTGCTGGTTTCTCTCTTTGCAGCCTTTAAGGGTTCCTGCTACGGAAAGTGGGGAGAACAGGAGGCACAGGTGCAGAGACAGAAATGGATGCGTTTGGGGAGGACAAAGAATCAAGGAGTGATGAAGGTTAGTAGGCAGCAAAGGGAGAAAACCAGATCTCCATTAAGGAATGCTGGGTGTACAGAGGAGTTGGCCATGCTACTACAACAACGTGGAGCCGGATTCTCCTGTTTATCTGAAATGCTGAAAATGCCTCCTTGAGACAAGAGGCAAAGCACGAGAGGGGAAGGCATGAAACATCCTCTCCTTGGGATCTCCATGCCTTGCCAGCCAGTGGATTGGTGGCTGGGCCTGTAGATGAAGATGGGGTTCTCTGTGGGCATCACCTTTGTTACTCCAATCTGATAGAGCTCCGAGGGGTTCCCCAGCACACGAGCCAGCACTGCTGCACAGCCTTCTCTCTCCTCCAGGCAGCTGAGCCCTCGCCCAGCCAGGAGTCCATACCTGGGAGATGAGGTGTCCATGTGACAGAAGCCAGGGCTGTAACTGGAGCCCGCAGAGAAATCACAGTGTGATGACAAGTTCATCCAGGGCCGAGTGGCTGGGGAATCCCAACCCTGTACCTGGCCAGGAAGTTCTGGAATGGAAGACGGATGGGGTATCCCTCCTTTCTGATGTGGATAGCCTCCAGTATCCCAGAATGTCGCAGCTGACAAGTGACATACTCCACATCAAAGATATTTGACAGCTGTGAAGATAAGGCAGAAGAAAAATTAAAAGCAAGAAATAAACAAAAAAATAAATAAATAAAGGAGGTAGGAGGCAGAGAGTTTAGAAAGGGTCTCCTTCTATTGTCCTGTCCTGAGTTTAGATCTTGCCATGATCTCTGAGCAATGGAATGCAAAATCCAATGCATTGTTTGGTGTCCAACTGACAGTGGCTTCTGTTCCTCCAGCACAGGGTTAACTCACATGGCCACAGGGAAGAGTGGGAGACAGAGAAAGAGGAAGAAAAGTCCCGAGCTACCAAATGAAGCAAAGAAGTTCAAATCCCAGCTGTGAAAGGAAAGTTGTTGGAGAATACACTTCAAGGAACTGAAGTACTCCATGAGGAGCTCTGGGTGCTGCCCTACCTTTTTGGGATTAGGAGTGATGCACCGAATGAAGAAGGCATGGCTCCTGGAAAACAGAAGGAAGAACCTTTGATCACCCTCCTCTCTGTGCTGACCCTGGAGGACCTCACACATTTCTGGGTGCAACAGCATCTCTCACCTTCTCAGCTTGGCTGTGAGGTCCTGCAAAGACTGCTGGAATTTGGACACCAGTGTGGAGGCCTGAGGCTTGAGCCCTTTGCCCCTCGGCCCCAGCTTCCTTTGCTGACTATAGGCAGCTTTAGCCTTCTGGAAAATATGAGACACCACCTGCAAAAACAAAGAAATGAACAAAATTCCCTGAACTACAAGGAAAGAATGATCTCTTCTACTTGACACTACCCTCAGGCAGTCTGTGCATTTTATATATAATGCATCAAATACAGGCAAAGACAACTAGCTCAATTCCCAAGCGTCCTTCAGTAAAATAGAACTCTTCATGGTTTCTCCAGGTCCTCCTGACACCTGATCAGGACCTTTCTGCTTCTCATGTGAAAGCAATGAGTGGCTCATTAGGTGTCTGCAACAGAGATCTTCCTCCTGAACCACTGCAGTACCTTGAGGCGGCTCTGAGAGAAGATGTCCAGCACCTCTGGACGCAGCTGGTCACGGTTTTTATTAAGAAACTTGTGGACCTGCAGAGGCAAAGTCTGGTTTAATGCACCATTCAGACCAGGCAGACAGGCAAACAACCCTCTTACACACACCTTGACTGGGGCCACGCAGCTGGAAAGGGGGAACAAGGGGAAAGCCCTGGAGAATGAAGCTGGCTCTTCCTGCTGCCATCAAGAGTGGAGGGGACAATGACTTCTGCTTTTGGGAGGGATTGCTCCTCTTCCCTTCACATTGCCCAGCAGGCTTTGACCTCTCACTTCTTTTCAGCAGCAATAGCTTTCCTGGACTTCCAGGGCTCTGGGCAAGCAGTGCAGGCTATTGTGTCACTGAGGTCAATAACTATTTTGCTCCTGCCCAGAGGCAGCTAAGTTGCTTCTCCTGATAAGAATCTCCTAATTTGTGATAAACTGATGCTCTAGAGGGATGTGGAGTTACTAAGGGAGGGTTTTGGTTACAGGACTGGGAGCTGGTCCATCAGGACACCCACAGCTTGTCTCCAAGCTGGGCTATTGCTCCAGCTGCTCCGAGCCCCTGCCAGCTCACCTGGTAGGTGACAGGGCCTGCATAGTGCTTCACAGTGAACACTGGCAAGGGCAGCTTGGGCTTGGCATACCAGGGGCTGTTTCCATGATGGTAGTGACACTTTTGGAGGAAAGTGTGGTCTGTGGCCTGTAAAGGAGATGACAAATATTCCCTGCTGCTGCAACATATTAAATAGACTGAAAAGCTGCTGTTAAACCAAAGGAAAAAACATCTAATACTGGTGCAGACACAGTAGCTGTTCAGTCTGGATAACAACTTCACCATAATCATCCTGTGAAAGGGATTACACAGGAGGCCAAGAGCTTCTTACCTGAGTCAGTGATGTCTGGTCATCCAGGATACACAAGATGCCGTGGGGTTTTGCAGTGAGGAAATCGAGGCACGACTCGCTGTACATCTTGGAAATAGGAATCCAAGCTAACTGCTCTTGGCTGTATTCCTCCTGCATATTAAAGACCAAATCCAGCCATGCAAACAAGAGCAAATGGAGGAAGTTAACAAGAGGGATTTGGTTTGTTCATCAGGAAGTTGGTGTTCCACTACTGTTAGGAACTTGCCTAGAATTATCTGGTTTTGTCTTATGAAACTTCTTCTAAAGCCACTAATGATTGTCCTAATTTAAGAGAGCAAGGCCGTTAAGCAGAGAGGTAAAGTGAACTGTAAAAGGCAACAAATCTGATAAATTTTCATCCCCAGTACATAAGTGGTACATAAAATGCTACAAAGAAGCCAAACAGGCTTTAAAAGGTACTGGCTGAGGTCTGGGATCCTTCATCCTGACAACTCACTTATAAAACCTGCAAAAGGGAGCAATGCCCTAACAATCTCTCATTCTCTTAATTTTACCTTGATTTACCACAGAATTAGTAAAAGATATTAAATAGGCTCTTTGGACTGGAATTCCATGGATACTGCTTAAGAGGACCAGGTCCATTCAGCTTCCTATTCACTGCTAAAGGATCCTCTCCAGCCGAGGACACCTCAGCTCATTCCATATGTGCTGCCTTGACATGTTGTGGGGGTTCCATTAAGTTCCATTTACCTCTTCCTGGGCAATGACAGTCTGACTGAAAAACTGCTGGAGGTGCTCATTGGCAAAGTTGATGCAGAGCTGCTCCAAGCTGTTCAACCCGAGATCCTGCAAAGACAAAAAAAAAGGATAATCCTTTCCAACACCCAGCCCATCCAGGGACCTGTGGCTTCCTGTAAATGCTGCACAGCCTCAGCTGGTGCTGAGCTGAGCTGCTGGTTCAGGCAGCTGGTTCTGATCAGTGTGAATGAACCCTAGAAGTTCAAATCATCTTCTGTCTCATCTGCAAGCTCTCAGCCTGGTTTATTGACTAGGCTGAACAGCAAGAGGCAAGACAAGCTGTGAAGGAGCATGAAGAAGAAGAGATCTCTTGGCTGCACAGCCCCACCTACATATTCCATTGTTTTCATCGTTCCTTGAGACACAGATTTTAACAGGAGTCCTAAGTAAAAAACTCAGAGGTGCTGGTGAGCACTCACAGCCCAGACCATAGCAAAAGAACAGGCAAAGTAACCTCAAAACCGTGTATGTCCACAATTCCCACGGCACAGTCTGATTCCCAGGGAGCCAACCACTCGTTGATCCTCAGCAGCAGCCACTCAAAAAGCAGATAGTACAGGGTCTTGGCAATGGAGTCCCTGAGGGGGAGAGGGCAGTAAAACCAATTACTGCAAAGACTCTTGGGAGCATCTCACCAACCCAGGCAATAGCAGAAGTCACCTGGCATCAATGGCTCCTTCTACAGACAGAGGGGTGAAGATCCGATCATATGATGTCACCTGGATACATAAAGAGCCAGAATTTTCTGTTATTAACTCACAAATACACCTTTTTTTCTTCTTCCTTTTTTTTTTTAATCCACAAGGAAAACAACCCAACTAATAAATTGATTGGGTTGGTTTTTTTTCCTATTTGGCCCGAGAATTTACCCAGGTACCAAAGGCAAAAGTAAACCGAGAATTTTGCTGCCACATTTCGGGGGGTAACTCAGCTGGCCAAACTGATAAGCCTGAAGCCACCTCATGTCAGTGAAGAGGTTTCCTGGGTGTGAGTTCTGGCATCTTTACAGAGCTGCCTTGAGGGATTCAGCTCATTCTAACCATTTTACTAGTCCTGTTCCCTCCCAGATTTTGGGCCTTCTAAGGTGGTGGTCCCTCTGTTGACAGAGCATTGGACATCCTGTGCTTCAGGATGAATAAGAAATCACCAAGAAGGTACTCACAGTGACACGGTGAGTGACAGCACTTTGCAGGGAATCTGCTGAGACACACAACAAATTGGCCACAATCTGGATCTCAGTGTCACTGGCAATGGCAGCGTGTTCATAAGATTCTTTCTAAATAAAAGAGAACAACAAATTCATCTGTGGATGGGATACGAGTCCCACTGGTATCAATATTCTCAACAGCACCTCAGCTGCACAGAGCTGGTCACAACAAAAAACAATCTGGGTAAGACACTGGGTTTATTTTGGCTCCTCAAAGAGCCACTCAAGCTCTAATGACCTTTGCTTGCCTCCCATTTCTGTCCCTGCCTAGGTCAGTCCAGAGCCCAACATAAAAAGAACAGAATAGTCTTCAAAAGATGCCATCTTCAGTCAGGAATAATGTCCCTGGTCCCATCACGTGGGATAACAGCAACATTCAGCACACATAGCCCATTCCCAAACTGTCGAGGGTGAGGTACCTCGCAGGAGGTAAAGCAGATGTTCCCCAGCTGCAGAATGGCAGCCAGGACAGCCCAGGTGGAGTTCAGCTGGTCCTCAGAGAGGCAGATCCCCTCCAGAGCTTGCACCAAGACCAGAAAGTCCTGACTGTCCTCCTTCCCCAGGATGTCACATGCTCTGCCCTGAGAGGAAAGGGACAGATAATCCTGATCAGCCCCTTTTGCCCCAGGCTGGAGCTGAGCCACCAGCAGCAAACTTCAGAGTAGTTCAGTGTTTTAAGAACTGGAGGAATCTGAAATAAAAAGACCAAAGGCACCACTAGTGGGAGCTCAGCATTTGTGATGGACCAGTCTCTCTTCTCTCTGGAGTTCTTGAGAGTGAGATCTCTCTTGCCCTCACATGCCAAGTTTCTGTTATGGTTCCAGGACAAGCACCCCTGCTACCCCTTGGCCACTCCTGGGGCGCAGCTTGAGAGCAGAAGGGATGCCAGAACTGACTCCAAATAAGTCATGGCAGAATCACCACCCCAGATTGTACCAGGACCTAATGTGTCAAGGCAAATGGGGACCTGTGCACCCAGAGAGCCACCCTGTGTTACAGCCTGTCTCATCTCTGCCTCAGAGCTTCACTACAGTATGGCCTTATCATGTTTCTGCTTCTTGAGCTTATCTCTACAGGACACTCCTAACAACAGCCCTAAAGTTCACAGAAATCCTGGGTCGGGCTGGGGGGGACTGTGGAACCCGTTTGTGTACAAGGGCATTCTTTGATCAAAGTTTCAAGCTACTCTCAGATTCCAGTGAGACAAGGATGAGGTCCAGGCAGCCCCTGGGCCAAGACCAACATCCAAGAGAGATTTTGTCAGTCTCTGCCAACTTCTTTGTGCATAATCTGATCTTTTTTCCTCTCCTTCTCTGCAGCCGACCGAGACATTCCTGTTAACTATCACCTTGAAGCGTTTGGTTTACAACCCTTTGCCAACCAGGAACGTCACCCATCAAGGGATGGGCCCCTAATTGCCCTCCATCCTTGAGTCATTATTGGTACTTGTCCATTCCTTGCCTGAAGGCAAGATGATAGCAATCACTATCCAGGATTCCTCACACGACCACAGCTGCTGTGAAGAGCTGCTGCTCCCACCTGGGAAAGCTGACTCACAGGGCTGAAATAGGAAAGATCTCTTGCTACTTCTGTGAACTGCTTGAGTGTAGAAAACAAAGCAAAAAAACCCCAACAAACAAGCAAACAAAACAAACAACCTCCCAAAACGCAATCAGACAAAACCAAAACTTGTTCCAAGATTATGACTTGACATAAGCAAACAATTTTCCAACTTAAATAACTGTACATTTCAGAGGTTCAAAATTTGCACCCGTTGACTCAGGCAATGAAGCAAGTTTTTTGCAGAAGGTAGAAAGAAATACTCCCTGTTCTTTGCAGTCCCACAATAAACTGCAAATGCAAGGAAAGGAAACGAGAAAAGGATTTTTTCACCACACGATGGAGCCATGGGTTTACACAATGATATCTTTTTAAAATGTTTTGCTTAGGAGCAGAAGGGGCCTGAAAGGTGAGAAAAGAATCACAGAAGAGAAAAGGTATTGCTTCTTCGGTCAGGCGTGAGAAGGAACAGAGCAGACTTTAGCATGTCCTTTGAAGGACACATTAGCAGGGAAGCAAAGTTAGTAAGTGTCTCACTACCCAAACAGAAGTGTTGTCTTGGCCGTTTCACTGCATCAGCTGCTGCAGAGCATCCTCAGCTCACTCACCTGATTCAGGTAAAAGTAAGACTCTGCCTCTTGCAAGTACATCTCCTCCTTCTGCTCCACGGGCAGCCCAGCCAGCAGCTCATAAAACACGTGGTAGTTCCTCTCACCATGGGCCTGACAGGGGACACATTCATAGAGTTGACTCATGTCCAGCTCCAAACCCCTACAGAATATACTCAAAGAGCAGGACACAAACCCTGAAGTCACCAAGACAAGGCCAGAACCATTTAATTTGAAAAGTTTCCAGGTTTTCTTGTTGACACCTTAGGAACATTCTATGTAAGAGCAGTCCTTTTCACACAGTTACAATATTTGACCTTTTCCACACTCCAGAGATAAAGAAAAATGAGTTGAGGAAATATTTAACTCTCAGTGATCCCTAATAAATGGCTTCATTCAAGCTGTTTGAGACAGAGAGACCTTCTACTTTATCCAAATAAAATAAGTGATCGCCCTGTGCTACACAGAGGGGACATATTCCTTGTTCTCTTGAAATGGGAGGCAATTCTCATACTTATTCCTATTCCTGTTACTCAACAGTAAGTTTAAGATTAAATATCAATAAGGGAGAGAGGGAGTCACTGGTCCTCACCTGAAATACCACTCGGGACTTCTCCAGCAGGTACTGGGAGATGGAAGTCCCCACCACGACACCACTGAGCATAAGACAACAACAGCTCCTGTCAGAGGCTAGGAACAGGTTTTCTGCAGATCACTGTCTCTGTAGATAAGAATGATCTAAGGGGTGTAGTCTACATCAATTTCCAAAATATTTTGACAAAGGTGTGGGACTTTCAGGGAAACCAAGCAACCACAGCATAAGAGGGAAGGTCCTGACATGGGAGTAAAGGGGAATCCTGTTAACAGTGTGAGGCAACCACTAGAATTCCACAAAGTGTCTGTGCCTGACCAATGAGTGTAACTGAGGGTTTGATAAATGGCCTAAAAGAGCAGCTGAACAGCAATGTGACAAAGCTTCCTGTTTGTATGAAATGATTCAAGGCAGTGAAGATAAAAGCCAACTGTCAATAAATGCAGACAGACCTTAGAGTACAGAGTGAGTGGGCAAGAAAATGGCACATGAAACCCACTGTAGATAAATGTAAAGTGATGGATGCAGGCCCAGCTTCACACATAAACACACAGCCTCCAAATTCACCACTGCTCCTTAGGACTGAGACCTGAGAGTTATGGCAGACAGTTACATGAGAGAATCAGCTCAGTGCTTGGCAACAGCCAGAAAACAACCCAAGCAAACAAACCAAACACAGAGGTTAGAAAGGAGGCAGGTTCAAAACAGAAAGGTGTTTTTCACAGAACTGGTTAGACCTGTGGAACACTTCTCAAAGGCTCTTGCAGATGCATGAAGTTCGTACGAGTCCAAGAGGAAACTGGAAAACCTCAAGAGACTCGGGAAAACTCCTGGGCTGCTGCAAATGGTCAAGAGCTCACAGAGTGTTAGAGAAAAGTGTTGTATGTATTTGGCCTGTTCTTGTCTCAGTCAGAGCTTGTGGCCCATGTTGGGGACACCACACTGTATTAGGTGGCTTCTTGGTATAACCAGTTCAGCCATCCTTATGTTCTTAATGTAACACTCATCTTCAGAAGTAAGATCCATTCTTTGGTGGAGGAAACCTAAGGGCAAAATAAGGGTGTAAACTCACCCTCTTCCTACCCTGATGATAACAGGAGTGAAGGGGAGGGAGGGAATTGCCTGAGCCCCAAGCACTGCTCGACCTTTCCTCACCCCACCCCTCGGCAGTGCAAGGAAACACCCACAGTGTTTCTTCAACTCACTGTCGCAGGTGGACGTTCAGAAGCTTTCCAAAACGGCTTGAGTTGTCATTGAGGATGGTTCTGGCATTTCCAAAACTCTCCAGGATGGGCAGGACATGGCAGGGCTTGAAGAAAAGAGGGAGATGACACTTCAGTAGCAACCACAGGTTTTTAAACCAAACGGGGCTTAAGTAACTATTAGTTTATAAATCTGAGAAAAATGGGACTTCAGTGATATAATTCTTGTCTGGATAAAAAATCTCTTTTTAAATGTATCTTGGTATCATTATCTCTAGCCAGCGGCAAGTTGCTTTGTGAGCTCTTTATGATCTTTCACTTTACTTCTGCTCTGTGTTTGTTCAGATTCACCTCCCAGACTCTGATATAAGCTCTCTAGGGCAGGTATGATATCTCTGTTCAAACAGATACACCACTCTAGACAGCACCAGACCTCAAGGATATTAATATACAGAACTACAAATACACTGGCTCTCCTCATGTCTTTATGGGAGGTTCACCTTGGACCACAAGCCATCCAAAGTCCAGCTCAGCTGAGCAGGAATAAAGAAATAACATCAGCCTGGTCTCTCTCTCCTGTCTTTGGCTTCTTTTCCTTGCCCAACCACCACAGTATCCAGCCAACCTCTGTTATCTCTCACCTGTCTGATCCTGTGGCTGTCTGATCTCTGGTACAGCAGGGTCAGGTATTGCACAATTGCTTTGGCAGCTTCTGTTTTACCTGATCCACTGTGTCCACTGGAGGAACAAGAGGTAAGGAAGCTGGTATCAAAACAGAGTTACCTAATCTAGACACATCAGAGCCCTGTTACAGCAAATCAGTGGGGTTGTACTGATTTACAACTGAAGATCTGTCACCTAGTGCTTGAAGCCCTGAGACAACTTGACAAAATGGTCCCAGATAAGATTCCACTGTGGAATGCCAAATGCCTTCTCTTCCACTCCTCCGAACTGATGTGAAAGCAAATATAAACCATTTTTGCACAGAGTGAAACAAAAATCCACCTTATTCAGGTTCTCTACTGAGAGCCCTCACACAAGAGCCAGAATGATCAACTTACAAAGATGAAAGTTTTACATAAAGAAATTAGCAGGTCTTCAGGAAAGTACCTCATTTCCTACCTGATGATGACACACTGCTCCTGCCCTGACGACTGGGACAGCGTGTAGGCCATCTCTGCTATGGCAAAGACGTGTCTGCATGGACAGAAAGAAAACCCCCATTAACTGACCTCACATTTCTACCTCACAAACACAGCACCAAAAGGTTACTCATCAGGGATCTACATTAGATACAGGTCCAAGCAACTACAACTTTGCCAAATGGGTTGTTCACTTCCTGTGACATTCATCCTGCTCTATCACACAACTGGAGGAACATAAAATATGCTCTGGAGCACAAATGGAACAGGGTTTAGGGAGTTATTCGAGAAAGAGGAACATACGGGGCATTTTTTGAGAGAGTCCCCTGATGGTACCGGGTAGCCACATCTTCAGAGTAGATACTGAGGTCTTTGAAAGGATTCACAGAAACCAAAATTTGCCCAATGTAAGTCTAGGACAAATATAAGAAATGGGAAAAAAAAATCTGGTGGCTTCTTAGAATTTTCTGAATGAGGAATGCAACTGAACACATATATTAGTACAAAGATTTAAATGCCCTTTAAAAGAATACTGTCTGTTCTGACTATACTGTCATCTTATCCAGGGCACAGTTTTTCAGTGGCATTTTCAAAGCTCTGTCATTAATAATTTGGGATAAGTGAGCGCTCACTGGTCTGTGGTCACCTTCTCTGGCCACTGTCTATTCTCTGAGCTCCACATGAAATTACAGGCATTGCTAAGACAGGAGAGTCCCACTAGGAGCAGCTGAGGACAAAATGGAACCCAAGTATCCTCACAGGATGCCAACGAATAGCAAAATTACAGAGAAGCTCTTGAACTTCCTGATTTTACCCCCAATATTTCATGTTATCTGTCTTCTGAGCAAAAGCTGAGTGAGTATCCTTTTTATCACTTTAATGAACGAGCTCTTGAGCTACTTGGTGCACTATTAAAGCTTGATGGAATAATATAAATTATTTTCTCTTACAGCTCATTGCTCAGAATGAATAAGTACCGAAGAAAACAAAACAAAACCAAACCAACCACCACCACCCACAGTTTATCTCATACATAAATGAGGTTGCGGTGGAACCTCTTCTTCAGGCACAGCAGGACTGAGCTCTCAGAGACTTCCCTACAAATAGAAGAAAGGACTGGTCAGATATAAGCTTCACTTGCATGTGTTAATAGTAGCCTTACTCAGCTATGATATGCATCAAATTAATTCTGTTTCCTCCCACGATAGCCCAAGATCTATAACGTGCTTTCTGTTGTTGAGCCAACTTTGAAGGATAACAATCAAGCCCCCGTGGCCTGAACTAGCTGCAGAATGCTACTGAGGACACATACTCCAGTCTGGTTAGATCTTCAATCTCCTCAACTTCTGCACAGAGGTCTTCACACCTGTACACCTGAAATGCACAGACACATTACTGACCATCAGCAGAAGCTCAGTTTCATTCCAGTACCGGAGACAGCACCTGTACCTGTTTCTGCATGAACTCCATCTCTAGCACGTCGTCAGCGACATCTTCTGCCTCCCACTGCTCCTTGCAGACCTTCCTCACATGGCTGCTGGCCAGCTGTGGGTCCCTGTAGATGGCCCACTTGCTCAGGTTCTCGATGGTCAGGCGTGGCAGCAGCAGCTCCGCGTTCAGCCACGCTGCAGGGTCACAGCCCTGAGCCTGCTGCTGAGACCAGTGAACACCAGGCGTGGCCACGGACCCTGCAGTCTGGAGGACACCCGAGCCTCCTTTGACATCCACCTCACTGGAATGATCTGATGTCCATATTGGATCCTCTTCATGCAGAAGGAAGCCCTGTTTGCTGTTTCTCTGGCTTTGACCCACCAAAGATCTGGGAAGGTCACATTTGAATTTGCAACCCTGTTGCACAGGTGTGACAGATTTTCTGTCTGATAGAGATCTCAGCTTTTCTAGGGAACAACCCTTTCCAGAGCCCCTGGATAAGGAGTTTTTAGCCTTAACCAAGCTGTGGACTCTGGGGAATACTATAGCAAACTTGGCATCAGTAGCATTGCTCTTTTCCTCATCCAAGCATGGAGAGGAACTGCTTCCATGAAGAGGGGAATCACTAGAAGGCAAATCAACGTGTCCCACTTCCTCTGCCATTTTAGGACCACTTTTGCCCTCCAATAATGGAGGAGAAGATTCCTTGTCCCTCGGCTCAGCCCTCCCCAGCTGTCCAGCTGCACCAGGGAAGGCTTTGCCCGACCGACCAACCCACCCAGCAGTGCTTAGAAGCCGGATTGCCATTCTACTTCTGAATCCAAAAGGTTTGCTGCTCTTCTTCCTCTTACCAAATTTCTTCAAGAGCCATCTTGAAATCCCAATTGCACGTGCCACTCTCAGCAGACGAGCTTTCAGCCTTGATTTCTTGGCAGGTTTTTGCCCAAGCCAGCTGGTGACTTTTCTAAAAGTAGACTGAGTGTGCAAGTGCTTGGATCCTTTCCAATCATGCCCATGTTCTGTTTCGGAAGGTGCCTCTGCAAGCACTTCTTCTGCTTTCTCTTCTTTTGCCTCTGAAGTCTGGCCTGAACTCAGTTTAACTTTTCCAGTAACTTTTCCAACTTTCTTCTTCTTTCCAAGGAGCTGCTTATCAGATGATTTTTTAACAATCATGGAGCAGCTTGAAGTATTTGATCTTTTCTCTCCAAAACTTTGAGCTATGTCAGGTTCTTTTTGTTTACTGAGGGTTTCTAGAGTCATGGGTTTTGAACAGATGCTTTCAACATTTTTCAGGTCTGAGTTGGTTCCCAAAGCCATCTGGACAGGATTCGGTTCACAGCTTGGTAATAGTTTGGTCTCAGCATTTTTATGCTTCTTTTTCAGACTGAGAGGGATTTGGGATTGAGAACTTTTCTTTGTGAGCATCATCGCTGCTAATTCCTGCTTGCTGCAGTCTGATGAACTGTCCCTCTGTCCATGTGCTACCTCTTCACCTTGTTCTGCGATCTCACACCTCCCAGACTTCTCCTTCAGAGTCCTCTGCTGTTTGGAGAGCAAAGGGCTGTCTTCCAGCACACTGCCTTCACTGTTCACCATCTCCTCCTGTTCAGATCCTTGATGTACTTTGCTAAGTCCAACATGGAGTTTTGCTTTCACAGCACTTGGCAGTGGTTTTGTTGCATTTTCCTTTCCTTCATCAGTGGTCTCTTCAGTTCTATTCTCCCCAACACTGTCAGAATTTATATGTCCTTCTTTACATACATCTTGAACTCTGTCATTTTCTAGTATATTTTCCTTGTCTACTTCATTATTTTCTCTGTTCCTAAGACTCTTAACTTGGAATTCTGAAATGTTTACCTCATCATCTGCCCCACTGTTCTCAGCTAGAATACATTTTGGTTGTGTCGGCATGTCATCTTGCTTCTTCATCTTCTCCTCTGCTTCCAATCCTGCACGGATTGTGTCTTCATCCTCAGATTCAATTTTTCCACCTGTGGTTTCCTCCTCCCTTTTAGGTTCAATAGATGCTTCATTGCTTTCATCAACCACTTCCTTGTAGCCTTTGCCTTCAGTCACAGGAGGACCTTCGAGCACGGCTTCTTTCTCACTGTTGCCATCTTCCTCGTCTGAACTGCTCCTCTCTTCTGAACTACCTTTCTCTTCTGAAGAACTGCTCTTCTCTTCTGAACTGTTCCTCTGTTCTGAAGAACTGCCCTTCTCTTCCGAACTGCTCTTCTCTTCTGAAGAGCTGCTCTTCTCTTCACTGCTGGAAGTGCTGCCCACTACAGTCTCTTTTGTACCCGTTTCTTGGGTCCCATGGCCTTCACTGCTGGAGTCAGAGCAGGAGTTACCTGAGGTTTCCAGGAAATTTTCTTCTTCACTTTCAGTGATAACAATCCTGGCATATTTTTCAACTTTCTTTTTCCCAGTCCTCTCACCTTTTCCCTGTGCTGTACTGCCTTGGGATTGAGGACTTGACTTCTGCCCAGAAGCCTCCTTAAAGCCATGTTTCCCTCTGTGCTTTCCCCTGGGGTTCTGTGCCTTCTCTGGTGGGTTCTCTTTCCGAAAAGAACCCTCAGCACTTTGCTCTGCAATTGCCTTTATAGACTCCGACTCAGTGACTTTTCCCCTGACACCAACACGCTTTCCACACTTCTTTCTAGAACTGTGTTTCTTGCTGTTTGTGGTGGATTTACCCTCCTTGTCACCGCTGTCCTCACTCTCCTGCCCTGATGTCCTTTCCTGTTGCTTGCAGGCCTTTTGTTTTTTCCCCTCCAACCTGGACATGACCCGTTCTCTGTGTTTTCTTCCCAAACCAGATTCACTTTTATCATTCCTCTTGTAGGCTCTTTTTCCCTGGAATAACTTTTTGTGGTCATTTTCCTTGCTTCCCTGAAGCCTCCCCAGACTCTGGATTTTTAAGGGCTCTTCTTCAAGGGTGTCACCTTGTCCAGGCAGTGACTCTTTGCCCTTCAGTTGCCCTCTACTCTTCCCTTCCCTCTGCCTCCCACAGCGGATCTTTGAGTCTCCTGGGGAGCTCATGTTTTTCTCACAATTCAACACTTTCTCTTTTCCAGCCCTTTTCTGCCGAGTCTTGGATCGGGAAGGAGGCATTTCTCCAGCATCCAGGATTGTGTGAGGGCTTATCCCAATTCACCTATGAAAGGAAACATTGTGCATTTTGCTGTGAAATCAGCTACAAAGGGAGGCCAGATCTTCCTAAGCTCTAATTTACCTTGTTTCTGTAAAGCCAAATGTCTGCAGAACTTCACCTCTGCCAAATTGACTATACTGTTCCAGGTTAAGCTCTGGTTTATTTTGTCACAAATCACCCTGATTTTCTTTTTTTTTGTTAAGAGTCTTGCCACAGGCAACTGTCCATGATTTTCTACAGTTGACAAAGATTTGGCCACACTGCAGTTTAAGAAATAATGATTATTTTGTTTCAGGTTTTGCTTCACTTTTGCTTTTATAGTACAGAGGCTACAAGCCCAAGAGTTCTGGACAAGGTTTGTTGAAACTTGCTTCCATCCACAGGTATCTCCCCACCCTAAAGGGGATGGGGAAAGAGCACACAGTCAAGATTGCAATCCAGCAAGCTTTAAAGCTTTAAATCTTTGCAGGTGCTATAAAGTCTGATAAGGAGTGAGAATTTTTAGCATTTAATACCTCAGGAAGGCAGCCTACTCTGCTGGAAGGAAATGAAACCATTCTCCAGGACATCTAATGACCTGCTTGCAGACTGAAACTTGTCCAAGCATCCTTAAAAGTCATTAAAATAAATTTTTTAAAAGGCCATTGAAAAATACATTCCAGTACTCTGAGAGCAAACCAGCAAGAAACAACTGTGTGAATCAAAGTTTGCCTCACCTCAGTCACTCCAAGGAGGGCAGCAAAACTTCATTTCAGATTTACACAGTCCAGGAAGGCTGATGCTCCAAAAAAAAAAAAAAAAGCCCCCTTGGGTGTATGTAAGGCACATGGTCTTATTGCAAGTGTTGGAGGTTTTTTTTCTGTACTACCCTTTTTGTACTCTTCTGCACGACAGAACAATCTGCAATGGGGAACACACAGCATCTCCCTTTTCCCCAGCTGCAACTCTGACACTGAAGCAAAAAGCCGCTGCCCTGAAAGCAGTTACATACAGTTGAGGGTTCCTCAACAGTGTCTTTAGGGTTCCCTCTAAACTTACTTTTTTACTCTGGTCTACAGTTAAAACATCTCAGACACATACGTTGCACAGTGCAGAGTTCATTTCTTAACACCAAATCCTCTTCCATCCCTCTCTTTAAACAGAACTCTAAAATACGTAGGTGTCTGGTCACCTTATTTCAGCCCTCCTCCTCCTCCCCCCCCACTTAATACCCCAATATTAGTGGCCTAGATCTCTAAATCCTGCAAAAAGACTTTTGTTGCTGAGATTAATGGCAGCTGAATTAGGCCCTAAATCCTCAGTACAGAATAGTTGTTAATATTCTGTTCTCCTGGGGGCTTAAAGTTGATACAGCCTCTCTACAGTGCCAAATGCAGGAGAAAATAATAAAAGTCTGCTTTTATGTGCTGTTGCTAGATAGTCATGTGTCTGGAGAGCTAAAGCCTTCCACAAAACAAAAATGCTGCAATTCTTGGACAATGGGGAAGGTCAGGAACACAGCCCAAATTTGTAGGGAGCTTAGACACAGGACTTTGGTTTGACTCACTGTAAAGACAGAACCCCAGACTGAATCTAGGTTAGAAAGTGAAAAACTAGAGTTCACAATTCTTCTGAGACAGGGTTTTAGAGCAGATTGGTTTGTAACACCACTATTATTACTGGGAATGGGAAGATGAATCACTGCTTATATAAACAATTCCTTTGACATCAGACCTGCTCTGATTAACTGCCCTGGACCATCTGGAGCAGGTGAAAGATCCTGCTCATCAGTTTTTCAGCACCCCTCACTAACACCAACTTCATCTAAATCACCACAGGAAAAAGAACAATATGATTTCATTCTTCCTTTTCAGAAGAAATAACTTACATCAGAGAAAAAGAGAACCTCAGTGCTGTTAAGAAACAAAGCATGAACCTACAGATAAAAAGAGCAAAAAGCTCATGCTGCTATTTTAAGATCAGTAGGGAATTGTCCCGTCTTCCCTAAACACAGTGGTTTCTCCCAACTCACACAGAGGAAAAGTACAATCATTAATCTTAAAGGGACATACTTGGAACTTAATTCTTAAGTTTCTATTTTCATTCACCTGTACAAATTGCTCAAAGTCCTTCTTTTATCACTCTGCAAAGAGTAATTTTTGCAACATACCTACACTGTCTGCCCTGATTCCGTTGAATCCCCAGTATTATAGGTCACATCCATGTAATGGTAATATATTCCTTCTCCTGTGCCTTGTTTCCATGCAGCCCAGAGTGTGTTCCAGCCTCCTTGCAAGCCTTCCCAGCTGTGGAGCCTGACATGGATTCTGGCTGGGCTGCGTCCCAACAGCAGATGATTACAGGTATATGGAAGGAAAGTGGCATTAATTATTCAAGCTTTCTCGTGGTACCTTTGAACTTTTCAACCAGCAACATCACCAGCTGGTTGGCGGAGTTTGGGATAAAAGAAGAGGTGGGATTTCACCTAGGCAAGAGGCAGGCTCAGATGTGGTATGATGAGGTGCATCCCCAAAGACAGACTGACAAGGAGAGGTCAATTCCAGTACCAAAACACATCTGCTATAATATAGGCAAGAGACTACCAGACAAGGCACAGTGAATACTACCTTGAAACAAGCTTAGGCCAGTGAAAGGGATTAAATCATGGGCCCCTTTCTTCTGCATCCCTGGAGTTTTATTCCAGGAAGCCAAGCACGGATAGCTCAGCCCCTGCTCCCTTCTCCTTGCCAATACCAAGCTCTCTGCTGACAACAGGAAAGTAGTTTCCAGCTCGGCACTGAAAAGACAGCAAAACTGGCACTATTTTTGCCCTCATTATGCCTAAATCTCAGTCCAAATCAAGCAGAATGACTAAATCTCCTTTCAGCTCGAGTTTCCAAATAAAGCTGTTCTCCCCTTGCTTGCAGACAGGTCAGGGTTACTCACAGCAGGTGATGGTGTCCCTGCAGTGCTGCTGGCTAAGTCAGTGGTGGGTTTCCCCTGCCCAGGTTGCTCTCAAGAAACCAGGTAAGAGAGCAAACACAAATGCACAGTCTGGTCTGTACATGCAGCCTCCCCCTGCACTCATCAGGCTGCAAAGGGACAACACAGTTAGTGCAGATTTAACTACTCCCAGGATGTCCCTGGTTCTTTAAGGTTACCCTCTCCCAAAAAGCCTTTCCAGAGATGGTGGAGATTAAGCAAGATAAACTCAGGTGTGGGCAGCCAGCAGAACAAGTGACCCAAACATAAAATGTGATGAGTGCTGTTAAGATAAGATTTCAGACGTTCAGCAGCTTTAGTTTGGGTGGGACCTGTTTGTCTATCTCCTTCCAAGAGCCCGTGGCTGCTATGTACTGTACCTTGAGGGCTCCTTCACCAAGAAGCAAAGATAAAAACCCGGGGGTTGAGCTGGAGAATTTAAACACTGCACCTAAGCTTTTCATCACTGGATGGTCCACTTCTCTTAGTTAACTCTTTCATCCCGTTCTTTTATTAACTGTTTACAAACAACTCTCTGCACAGAGGAGACCTCTCCTGTAAAGCCCAGAATTACTGATGCCATTTGGATCATGAATTCCTTAAGGACTCTTGGGAAAAAGCCCCCGGGACTTTTAGCTCTAAGCTTTTAATGTGAGTACAGCAGGGAGGAGAAACTGCTCTGAAAAATCCAACTCCTCACGGCTCCTGAGGAGAAAGTGGCTCTAACAAATGTCATTATCAGCTGGAGCCTCTTCAAGGCTCTGCATAGCCCAGGCAGAACCAGAGCCCTCTGCTTCTTTGATTTCTTTGATTTGTCAGAAGTCTCAGATGTCAGATTGGGTTTTGCCCAGGGATGGCCAAGATGAAGCCACTGATCATGTTCACTTTCTTATCAGACTCCTGTCTGCTCTGAGCTACAGTAAGATGAGAAAGGCTGAATCTCTGCTGTGCAGATACTCCCTCCCCACCTCAAGCTCAAGCCTGAGCCTCAGCACCTCTAACCTGGATTCTCTGCACACACTGAACACTACATATGTTTGCCTTTTAAAGTGATCCTGGCATGATGCTGTCAGGGGAAGGGAGATAAGCACCAGGAAAGATGAAACCCTTCCAGATTTCAGCAGACTGGACAGTGGAGTTTCCCGAAGATTCCTTCATTTATGCAAAATATCAGGTCCTTTCATCTAGTATTGAGTCACTATGATTTTAAAACGTTATTGTTATTTGAGAATGATAACACATCAGACCCACCTTTTCACCATAAATTCCTCTGAAGTCAACCACATAAAATAAAAGCACTGATGCTATTGCAGAAAAGAGATACGAAAAGGTAACTCAATTTTTTTAAAATTACTAAATCACATGAATTAAAGAGCAGAAACTGGTTGTGATTGATCGGAAAAAAAAAGACATTTTGCATAAATTCACAACCACCTTGTTTGTGTGGTAGTGGTTCAGGTAAGGAGACTGGTCAAAGTTATTCTTAGGAACATCTGTCTTTACGATTAAACTTGAATAAATGTATAAATAGGGTCTCCTCTTGGTTTCATTCTATTCATTGACACTCCAGTCAGGACCCTGCAGCCTGTAAGACCGGTTTAAAAATATCTTCCTTGTTTTTGCATTTTCTCCCCACCCCAGTTGCATTGCATTAATATAAAATATCTCCGCT